TTTCCCTTGAATAATTCCTGTTACTTAGGTCTCAAAACCCCCATATTTCAGATGCTCTGGCTCATTCAGTCGTTGATAAGCTAATTAAATCTAGGGCATGAATATTTAATCTTTTGAATCTGCTTTTCTTTTTGAATATAGGCAAAAGGATAAAATGTGTGTATGAATGCTAATGATTTCTGTTGTGAACCGTCAATACTGAAAATTGTCCCCCATATGGTGGGCTTATAAGTAAGAACAATGTGAAACAGGAATAGAGAGAAATGTCTGAGCTTCCTACTTGATATGGGCTCTTCATCATCCTTCATCATCTAATACCAATATTTCACTGGCTGTCATTTTAAAAAGCTTTGTATATGAGGCAAATAATTGTAGCAGATGCAAAATTACAAATTGCAGTATATAAAAGAAAAATGAAATCAATAAGTTAAACTTAGCATTGGAAGACACCTTTTTAAGAGAATTCCTAATCCTTAAAATAACTGTTGGTTTACAGCTTAAGTTGCATATTTTTGCTAACATAAGACAAATTCATAATAGGAATATATTTAGATGGATACAATATTTGATACTGCAAATAATAATAAAAATACACTCACTGGATTGAGGCACATTTTTTTAAAAGGTACGGGGCAAAGGAGGGTGCGCAAAGCTGAGTGTGTTTGTTGGCTTTAATAACTTGAATGTAAGGTGAAACTGTTCCTTGTGCCGTGTGGGTAGTAACATGCTATGGAGCGCAGGTGAATTTTCTCTTTCAAATGTGCGACAGGCTTTGTACAGCATTCATGTTGTTACCAGAATGTTTCAGAAAGTTTACAGTCTTAGTTTAAGACTTGAAAGGTTTTGTCCATTGAATCAATTATGGAGAGTGTATTTGAATTCTTAAGAAATGTGATTGCTATAAATCACTCTTTTTGCAGAGAGGATTAGGTGGTACTGAGCTGGCGAAAAGAGCCTTTTTCTAGCTGCTTTCACTACGCAAAATATTCTGAGGATCTTTATGTAATTTACCTGGTTGGCCTAATTTTGATACCGCTTGTACTGATGAAGATCAGAGAATTGTATTGGAATGATACAAGTAAGGTTGGCGCAAATTAGTGGATCACTTAGTATTTCATTCCTCCAAGACATTTTTATCTTCTATTATTTGGTACGCTGGTCCATAAGGTTCATCGTGTGTATCAGTCTACTGAATGTTAAATGATGCAAGCAAAAGAAAGAATGTAGACACCTATTCTTTTTCAAGTTAGATTATGTAAAATACCCAGGCGAGACTTAAGTTTCTAAGACTGGTGAGGTATTCAGGATTTCCTTATTCCTATTTATTATAAATAGACATCCTAGCACAAATTTAGAGCTAAACTTCAAGAATCCAGATAGTCTAAATATTTTATTGATTACATTTTATACAATGAAGTAGAACACAAAGTGTAGGTTACTTTGTGATTTATTCTTTTTTTTAATACACTTGTATCAATACGTGGCACTAACCATTTTTAATTGCAGTCAAATTATCTACTGCTATGAGTCCATTCATGTGAAACTACCTGTAGATAATACATTTTCTTTTGATACCAGTGGCTTTTGTATTAGCTAATACGACAATAAAATTTCCTTTATGATACTGGTATATTAACGTATAATTATACAGCCCGTGTATAACAGCGCGTTGGAGGTCTTCTCTGCTTTTAAGACTTGGCTGGGTTGACAACTCTGCCCATGAACAGAAGGCAACTGGTACGATGTTCATAGATCAGAAACAAAAAGGGGCGGTCGACAATAAAGCGAATCTGAGTAGAAAGAGGCATGAACCCCACGTTGGTTGTTGCTCCAGCCTCTGTGCCTTCCTCATTCACAGTTATTGTCCCTTGATGATTGAACTGTTTAAACAAACAAAAAGAAAACAAACGAAATTGAGGATCTCGTAAGTATACTCAGATGACTTGCTCACAGCCTTCCCCCCCCTCCGTGTCCCACACGTGGCTCCCTTGTGATGCTCTTGCTGGTAACTCCTGTGCAACAGCAATCCTTTGATTTTGCTTTGTGAATAAGCCTCTTCCTGACTGAGCACAACCCTTTTAGCGCCTTTGGCATCTGATTAAACATGTTCCTCATTATATGAATAGACAAGGACATGCAGAGAAACCCACATCCCTCCTGCATCCTCCAGGAAAGATGAGGAAAAAACAGTATTTTAGCTTGCTGTGAATTATTTTACTGTGTTGCCATTTTTTCAGGTGACCTAGTTTAATCAGAAAGGAAATGAAAAGAGGAAAGGAGTAAATACCCTGTCGATGGTGACTTTCTCATCTGATATACCGGAGTAGTTGCCTTTTTCATTGAACAGTTCTACTATTCCCATGGATCTCAGATAACCAATCAAGTTATAACTCTTCTCCAGCTTAAATTTAGGCAGAACCACTTCTCTTGTTCTAGAAAAAATAAAAACAAAATTGAAAAAACATTGAGGAGATACATATTTGCATGATTCCTTTGCTTTATGTATCTGTTGTGGATTGAGTTTTTTGCTGTCTTCAGCAGGCAGGGGACAGAAATATACAGGGCTGTTTACTTTTCCTTTCAAAACTTGGGCATCATTATTTTTAAGCTGTGTTTTAAAAAAATTAATTCCCTTCCCAAAACTCTTAGTTTGTCAATTTAATATTTCATTTATGGTGATTTACATTATTTATGCATGTAAGACATATGGCTTTGAGTAGTCCAGTACATGGTTGGATATGCTTGTAATAAATGTCGAACTGTCAGATTTTCTGGAGTACTAAATTGGACATTGTCACTTATTTTATGCAGTAGGAATAGGTTGGCTTCCTGAACAGCACATCAAATCAGCTCTCTTTATCTTTTTCTCAAGTCTGAAGACAGACACCACCTAGTCTGTCATCTTGCACAAGACAGGCTTTATAATTTTTCCTCCCCCGTAGTTGTGATGTCCGTTGGTGATTGCTGTGTGCCTTTACACAACGGATATGTTGAAATGCATAGTGCTGAAATGAACATAGGCTGTTTTCCATGTGATTGAGATTATTCTGCACAAATAACCTCTTATTATCATGCTCCTGTTTTTCTCCTCATTGTAAACTTCATCAGTAAGAACTTTTTTCTTTAAGTCTACAACGTGAAATACTTAATAGAAAGAATTTTGGAACTCCATTAGAATTTTCCACCTCAATCATCCCTGATTTCTTGACGGCATTTAAATTTTTGAGAGATCACTGGTCCTGATTTTTAATTCAATAAATCCATCTTTTGGAGGTTTGGTTAGGTTTAATGTTTCTAAACAAAATACCATGTGTTACCTTCTGTACTCTTTACTTACCCTTGTCAATCTCATCAAGAAAATACATTAAGACTTTAACAAGATGTGCTTTTCAGCAGGTACCTGTTTGTCATGCTCTTCTGCCACTTTTCCACCACTTGAGGCGTTATCTGCTTCTCTAGGGCTTTCATGCCAGAGAGTTTGTGTGGAAGTACAATCAGCATACTGATGTTCCCCACAAACGGGAGCTGGATCACTCCGCAGTCTAGCTCGGGGTCCGCAGCAGCTAAGAAGTTCCCTTTAGTCTGCATCATAGGAACCTTTATTGTTTGCTTCTCATTCAGTCGGAAACTTCTCTTTGTTGTCATTTCCACTGGAAACTTGTTCTCCCAAGTTCCTGGTAATACAGTGCAGAAGACAGATAAACAAAAATACCCAGGATCCTTGTTTAATAAATTATTCCCAGAATAACAGTTTACATTAAGTTTTAATTCATGTGAATTGGGAATTACGGTAGGAGGTGGTTGTTTTCGATTAAGCCTGACTAAGAAGACAAGTTTTAAAGTGACTTTAAAATTCCTGACTTTTCTTTCTAACTTAACATTTGTCTGATTTGAATGCTCTGAATTACAAAAGCAGGTAAACACAAACTGGAGATCTGAAAGGGCTTGGTATGTACAACTTTTTTCTACAAGGAACCTAGAAATTGCAAAGTTTAAACAGATGCAAAATATTTGACAGGGTTTGCACCTAGAGGAACAGACGCAGCTGTATTTTCTGAGAGATCCGGCACTTGAAACCAGACTGTTTTCAAGCATTGGAAACGTCAAGCTAAGTAATGGCTGTTTTAATTTGGCATTAAAGTTATTGTGCTGAAGGCACTACCTTGACATAGTCCGTTCAAACCCATTCACTTTCTGTGTTAAGACATCCTGAAGAGTTTGGGTGTTGACTGCTTAATTCTATGACCCAGTTTGATGTGATTTCAGCACACGCATGCGAGCCCGTCATCTGACAGGTTTATGCCCAAAGAATGCAATTCAATGTATTTTGCAGCCCAGAAAGCTTTGCCATCAGGGTTTGAATCTTTCTATGCGAAGATTCTTTCAGTACCCCAAATATTTATCGACTGTGTAAAAGAAGGTGCTTTTTTTAAAGTGGTGTTCCTATTGATCTCTTTTCAGAACGGAGGCTCTGGAAAAAACATTATTTTTTTTCTTAATGGGCAGACAAAGCTAGAATTTTATAGTGGAAGTAGGGTTACTGGTATTTCCTGTTAAAACTCTGGATTTTAGGTCACCGTTGGCAAGCAGCAAGCATGGGGAGTGTGGCTGTGACTGTGTAGAGACTACAAACATAACCTTAACCAGTAACCTTTTTTAAAAGGTTGCAAATAATTCTGAGATCCTTAATTTGACTTTGCCAAATTGTCTGTGGAGCAGCAAAAAAAGCCTTAAGTCCCAACTTTTATTCTAATAGCTTCTTCATACGTTGGGCTGATGGGGAGCAGTTTGAGAATTGATCAGACTGTGGTTAATATTCTGAAGGGAATGGGATATAAAATGGATTATGCTATTCCCAAACAAATTGTCTCACATCTCAGGGAAAAAACATCATCTGGCTGTTCTTCAGGGAGCAGAATTCACAGGTGGAGGGCTCTAGCTAAAGGCACCAAGCTGCTGTGGGTCAGGGGAGCTGCAGCAGCACTGTCGTCACCTGAGGAATGGGAGACATTTAGCAGCTCTTCTAGTAAAAGAGAGGAGCTGGGGAACTTTTTTTTTCTTGAATTCAGTTTTGCAGATGTGCTTGTCTTGGGGTAGAATACTGTTCTGCAGCAGGAGGCGTGTGGTCTCTGGGCTCAGCTGAAAGCAGCTGGCACTTCACTGGCTTTTGTGACTTCCTCTTTTGAATCTTCCCCCCAAGGTGCCTTTTGGATCCATCTGTGGTGGCAGGTGCTGTCTCCACGTTCTGTCTTCTCTCTTGCAGTCGTGACTATTGTCTCATAGAAGCAATTTTGATTCTGTCAAAATCTGTCAGTTATCAAAAGCTGCCGTGATCTGCCATGGATAAAATAACCAGCTCCTACTTGATAGGAATCTCATAAATGATTGCTCAGAGCTTTGCAGAATGCAGGGTAGATCTCAGTGGGAGACTGGACACCTATACACAATAAAACTTGCTTTTTACCAATGTGAATAGTTTCCAATAGTTTCTTGATGGTACTTAATGTAAAAGGAGCTTGAAACTTCATGGTGTTTGGCAAGTATCCCATTACTCAGTATCCCTTGCACTGACCATCTCTGTGTACCTGAGAATACTCATAGGTTTCTTAGCTCTGAGGGCTTAAGAGAGCTTGTCTGCAATGATACAGACAGTGTAAATATTGCAAATGGAAAGATGTGGACAGAAATGAGCATGTCTAGAAGGACCAGCGTGGAAACTAGGAAACCCAGGAGCAGAACTTGCTGTTAGAAAGTTCATTTCCACTTGAAATAGAATTACCAGGAGACCATCACTGTAAGACAAAAGAATGGGAGACAGCAATGTAGAAGATGAAGGAGTGGGAGACAGCAATACAGGATTGATCTTTTTGGTTTTGAGTGTTAGAAATTGCAGCCTTCAGCAGACAGCACCAAGGCAATTCAGAGTAAGAGGACTGGGAGAAGTGGGGAGAGAAAAAGCCAAAAGTCTTTCTGGTCTTGATGACTCCAGAGATCCAGTACTGAAGCTGTTTAATTTTTGGTGGTGTTTTTTGTTATTTTGAGATAGCACAAGTATTTAATAACCTTAGAGTAAAACAGAAGGGTATTTTAAATTTGGCCGGTTGTGAAAAACTAATTTATCTGTTTCACTTTGTATAATCCTTTTCCTAGGATGGTCTTATGGACAGTAAAGCTATGTATTTAATACTTTATGATCATCGGAGATGTACTTAAGGATACAAATAAGTCCCTTTTGGATGATAGTTCAGAATAGGGGATTATTTGGATCTTATGCTAATGGCTGCTTCACATCTTTTAAAGAGACAAGTGGTGGTGTTCAAGGGAGTAACACCTTGCAAGTGAGTGGCAAAAGGCACATTTCATAAACTTACAGGAGTGGTGTTGCTGTTAAGTTCCTATAATGAAGTGCTGAGAAGGCTGGTGTACGAGAGCCCTTGAGCATTTGTTTCCTGGAAGCAGGGACATAATTGGAAAAAAAGAAACTCCTTTATAAGTTACGGAGAGGAGTATGTTGAACTTCCAAACATTGTTATCCCTTTGTGCTAACCTGGCTTTCCTTACTGATGTTTTAAGTCACCTTCATCTGATTTTCATCTTAATCAGTCAGGAACAGATCTCCCTTAGTTCCTCTTTCATTGGCACCTCCTACCTTTTGCTCTTTAAAATGGTATTAAAAAGTTTGTTGAAAAATTACTAAACTTTCAACCTGAAGCAGATAACTGATGTTGAAAATCTCACCACAGACTCTTAGTTTAAATGTAAAGAAATTGAAAATAAGGATTTATAATAACATGTATTGTACAGTCTTTACTTCAAGCCTCTTTAACTGTTCAGCCTATAGTGAAACATGTAGGAGCCCATATCAGCAGGCAGTTCATGCTGAATTAACTGAAATATTCCAAGTAGTGAATGCATTTGTTTTTAGTTTTAGAAGAATACTGTTTTGGTTCTTCTCTTCAGTCCCCTGTATAGGCTTGTTAACAAGGATGATGCTCTGATCGTATAAAAAAATACATACTTTAAGCTGAAATTCTTTATAGTCATTCCCGTGAATCCTGAATACTTCAGAAATGTTGTGTTTTAACTGAAATCAGCTGTATCATTTCAGTGAAGCCAGTAACTTGAAGCAGGAGTGAATCTGACTGATAACTTGCACATGAAGTAATACCTCACCATCTAAGACTCCTGCAAAGCTTACGCTTTCTGAGGCTATTCTGCATTCATATGTTGTTTTTTCAGTCTCACTTTTAGACTGTAAGCTTTTGGATGTAATAAGCATTTGCTGTATTTGTACAATACCCACTAACTTCAGGGCATGACTGGAACATCAGTGTGCTACAGAAAGATGTGAAAATGGGCTACTGATAGAGATTCTTCTTAATGAGGGAGTTGATAGGCTTTTTTTTAACTGTAGACTAGATTTAAGTTCAGTCTGGGGTTTCTAGTGAAGTATGCAGTGAATTGCAAACTGAGAAATCCATTGCTAAGATTGAAATAATATATTCTTACCTTTAAAGTAAAGACAGTTGAGAATCATCATCAGTGTTGTAGGGTTTACATTCACAAGAGCTTCCTTTATTAATCCTTTGGTCAGCTTCAGTATGCGTTCATTGGTTTTAGATATAAAGTTAGGATCTGAAAAATCAGCTGGTTGGGCATCAGCAAAGTAGTATGTTTTCATATTGTTTCTGAAATCATTCAGAATAGAAAAGTCCTTCTGAATATAAAGGTCATTGACGGACCTCAGCGTATAACCAAAATTGCGCCTGAATAGCCGATGAGTGAGTTTGCGGAAGAGATTATGAACAGTCATTAGCTCATATTTGGTGCTGGCGTTAATGAAGTCTTGAAAGCCAAGAACAGATAACACTTCCTGATGAGTCTGACCCTTCAGACCCAGAGAAATCATCGCCATTGCAGTGGAAATGCCAACAGGAGCCATGAGAATGTTATCTGAAGAGTTGGCTTTGTCTGCCACGCTGCGGTAAAGGTTGAAGCCAAAGTTTGCATTGAGGATATCAAGGCGCTGGATTCTCGTTTTGCCTTGGAATAGTTCAAGAATATTTCCTTGCTGAATTTCAGAAACCATGTATGGGGCAGCATCGATAATGTCACTGTAGTCGTCTTCACCCAGTAGCTTGTCAAGATCTAGGTAGTCCTCTTCCTCCTCCTCTTCAGGAATCAAGTCATTAGTGATAGTGTTTTCTCTGTGGAACTCAGGAGGTAAGTTTGGCATATCATAGGTCCCATTTTCATGTGGCTTTGCATCTTTAAGGCTTTCAAAATGCTCAGTGAAGTCCTTGACTCCACAAAATGTGGAGGTTATGATGAGGGCAAAGGCAAGCAAATGAAACAGGAACTTCATTCTGACAGGTCAAAACCTGGAAGATAACATAACACAGTTGAGAGAGCATAGGGTAATGGAATTTTAGTTATCTGTTCCCTCATTTTAGGTCCACACTGAATTCTGTCGCAGGAGGTCTATAGTTACCTTATTCGACAGCATGGTTTTTAGTGGAACGGGGCTTAATTAGATGGGTAAATCTGTTGTGCTGGCCGTCAGTTTTGCTTACGTAATGCCTCCAGCCTGCAAAGAATCGGTTGACTTCCTCCCATAGAAGTCATCGTTATTGGCGTATTTCAGCAGTAACAGACTCATTACTCCTATGTGGGACTATTTATAAACCTATAACACTTAAGTGTATACTAACTGTGTTACTAGTGTGTGCTAAAAATATGGCGTGAAGATAAGTTTGAAGGTTTGAGCTTGATAGGAGGAGGGACGAGGCATCCATTGCAGGAGCGTACCAGAAGGCTGAGATGTACTGAAGAATTTGAAAACCAGATACCCTGTAGCTACGACAACAATGGGAGTTTTATGGGAGTATTTTTGGCAGAACAAGGCTGAAATTTGATGGAGTAAAGGAAGTCTGGGGATGTAGCAACAAACCTGGAGAAAGTTGTATGTTTGCACTAAATACCGTTAGTGGGGCTGCGCTGGGGGAAGCGTTAGACATGGACAGACGTCCTGGCCTGCTCGTGGTCTTACCCAGTTGCATTACTACGTGTCTGTGCACACTTTTTGCAGCTGTGTACACTCATCTGCTCTGCTGTGAAGGATTGGCTTGATTCTGCTTTTGATTTAGTTACGTTTCATTTTGGTTTACTTTTGCGTAGCGCTCACAACACGAGCTCTCCATTTTCTTCATCATGTCAAATCTCTAGAAGTTCCTATACAGAACTTTGTTTCTCTAGTCTTAGTGTGATCCCAGTGCTGGATTTCTAACCTCACTTCTTTTGTGTGAGGATATATTTAAGCAGAACCTGCATTTTTCTAAAGGGGAACTTAATCTCATCTTCATTCACTGAGTATTGGACCGTTGCATTTTTAAATTATTTTTAAAATCAAGATCTATCTTGGATTATCTTCAAACAATACCTATCTCTCAGCCTTACTCAGCTGTGAAACACTGTACTAAGAAGTGGGTCTGAGAGACTTGTAGCTGTAATATTGGGTTGCAGTAATTACAGTGATCTCAAAAAGATAGGAAAAAGTGTAATTCCTTCCTGTGACAGTCAAAAAAAGACCAAAATGTAACTGTCCAATAACTCCATATCAGCTGAGACTGAGAAATGGGTGTCTGAGTGCCAGGGTCTTGGTTTTTGCTCAGACTTCTTTAGAAAGTTACTTGATGACTTTACTACCAACAAAAATTGACTTTATGCTTTTCTGAGTAAAATGGCAAATACTTGCAATATAAGCTAGGACAAAACACTGACTACAGTTAAAACAAAAATCTTACTAATATGTTGATTTAAATGGTTTTTTAAATTAGCAAATAGTCCAAAGAGCTGTTCTGTAGAAGTAAAATCTATAGGTATACGTACCTGCACATCTGTGAATAAAACCAGTGCTTGAAGGAAAATATTTTCAAACATGTTGTAGCAGACTGAAGTAAGTGAGCGAACAGTTTGATTTTTGTAACTCTCCCCCTGAACAAATTAGCCTGAAATCCTAAAACCCTTTAGGGTGATTATCCCGTATTAAAAAAAGAATTGGTTTGCAACAATGAAGGATCCATAGGAAGTGCTTTTTAAATGGTTTTACACTGCGACTGAAGGACTAGAGTCACTTTTTTTTTTTTTAATTGTTTCTTCATAAATTCATCACTTTTTTTCCCCGCCCCCAGAAGTCAGGCCCTCACGGCTGAGATACTCTGGCCAGTAACCATTGATAAATGTTTTCTGCTTTTGGCATAGAAGAATTTGCTGTCTCTAGTTCCCGACTTTACATTCTCATCTTCACCATAGTTTGATTATTGCTCAGCTGCACTTACACAGGCAAAACATTCCCCCACTCCCCAATATATATGTCTCTGGTCAGATCTCCCCTAAAATAACAGCAGATGTAAATGAAGCTTACCTTTAAGCCACTGTACGGAAGGGATGTGTTGAATAGCTCAAGTAAGGGGAATGGCAGGGTTTAAATCTGAACTTTGACGCTAGTTTTTTGTGTATCTCCCAAAGTAAACATTCTCTAAACCAAACACTGCTAAACTTACTTCGTCAGCCAAAATCCCTCCCTTGCCTAGTGATCTCTGCTGAATTGTATGCTGTTTGTTAAACTACTTTTACGGCTCTGCAGGTACTTGTTCACTTTTGAAGAAGATCTTTGAGCAAAAATGGGTGTGTGTGTAAAGTTTCAAAGTCAAGCACGCACATAAACTTGACTGTTAAGGACTGGTAAAAGCCATGCCACTGCTATTTCGTGCTGAAATGGGGGGGCATCTTACTGCAGATGTGGCTGAGGCCTCTGTGGTTGTGATGGTCCGGCTTATACTGGTGCAAACATTTGTGCTGCACAAGCAAATTTTTACCATACTGCCATTCACCATCTTAAACTCAGATTAATTTTACTATAATACAGGGATTTCTTTTTTCTTTCTTTTTTTTTTTTTAAATAAACGATCTGCCTCATGATTTACAAGTATATCCAAAGTTGGCTTTATATAAGGTTTCGTCAAAATACTGCTGCGTTTCATACCTCAAGAGAATTATTGTACAGTTAAAGAAAACTCCTTCAAGCTAGATTAGGATCTAAACTTTTCTTAATATAGTTTACAGTAATAATGTGCAGTCACATTGAATAAGGCTTGCAGTTTAATATGCCATTTCTTTCACTTTTTAAACACTGCCTGTGCTTCTAACACTTTTAAGGATAACACACTGAGCTTTGTTATACAAATTAACATTGCATATCATGTTGCCTGGGAGTATAAACTGTGCTCCTCCCGTGGTAGCAACTGTTTGTGCAAAAAGTATCAGAGAATTTTAATAAATGTGTTGAAAATAATGCTCTCTTGCTTGCTTGTTTAGATAGCAAATTCTCCAGAACTGATGTCATTGTGTGCGTGGGTGCAAACAATGAAAGATCCCCAATCGGTGCCTCAATGTATTTCCACAAAGCCATTAAACAATAGCAACCAGAAGTATGTTTGAGTAATATTTATTTGGGTTTGAGTTCCTTTGCACTGAGGCAAAGCTGTGTGGAATTGTCTTCAACACAGTTTAAAGGATCGCATGTTCTCTTCCTCTCTGCGGTTGATAGTGTACTCATACTATGTATTCTCTTCAGAGGTTACTGTATCAGCGTGGTATTATTCCTGCCTAAAACAAAGGAAATTATTACTTCAGGCATCTCAAACGTTGGCGTTTAAGATTTTCTGACAAGATCTAATTTTCTTCAGTATAACAATAGCAACGTAATACTAGTTTTCATAGATGACAAAGACTATTACCTTCATAAATCATAGTAAGGAAGGTATGTGAATTGATCCCTTAGCATGGAAATAAGTTATTATAACTCCCATCACGTTCTGATGTTAATTTTTATTTCTTTGGTAGCTCACTAGACGCTTGCCACCCATCAAGGAGGCCAAGCCCAGGTTGCAAAAGCTGTTCCGTGACTTCTGGTTGTATTCAGTGCTGATGGGATTTGCTGTGGAAGGATCAGGTAGTGTAAATTTTAAGAGAACAGCATTGCTGCTCACATATAAACTCTTGATGAATGTAAGTGTAGATGTATGTAAACCATTCACAGTAGGCTGAAGAAAATTTATGAGCATAAACATACTACAAAGCAAACAGCTTACACGACAGTTTTCTGGTAGGATTTCTTGACATCTTTGCTCTGTTTTGCTGTGAGATTCAGCACAGTACAATTTGTTCTCATACTTGGGGTTTGTTTTCTCAGGTAATACAGCAGTTAGCCTTAGTTAAGTATGAGTCTTGATAGCTAAGCTCCTGAAACAAAAGATCAGACACCTGGGTACAATGGTAATCAAATAGAAACTTCTAATCCAGGGAGAAACTTCACTTGGAATTACCAAAATGTGTTTGTTATGTTTGGAACAGGGATCACTGTGTTGAGTGTTTGTGCTTAAGTGCATGAAAAATTGGCCCTAGGAAATAGGGTCTTGATAATGCTAGTTAACTAGTAAGAGCTTGATAATGCTCGTTACCTTTGTGAATCCTGATTCTGTTTTTCTCCCCCACCCCCCATTCCTGTTTATACTCATGCTTCAGGTCTCTGGCCAGAAGAATGGTATGAAGGTGTTTGTGAAATTGCCACCAAGTCTCCGTTACTCACGTTTCCCAGCAAAGAACCACTTCGATCTGTTCTTCAGTACAATTCTGCCATGAAGAATGATACCGTGACTTCTGTAAGAGTTAATTTCTTCTATAATCTCCTTCCATAATGTCCATCAGAGTTAAATCATGTAGTGACCATGATCTATTGAAACAGCACAATACCCATTAAGCCTGCCTCCTATTAGTGAAAAACAGCTTTTATACCACTCTATGACAGCAGCGTACGTGAGTGACTTGGTTTTAGTTTTATTGAGTGTTAATACGAGGGTTTAGGGTGGTAGCTATGCTGTTTTGATTAGGTGTGGTCTTAGTCTGCAGACAGAGGCATCCTGGCATACTGTTTGCGAAGGTTAAGAAGTAAAAAGAGTAATAGCTGAATGCAGAAGTTTTCAGAACACAACCTAATATAGTACTCCCACTTCAGATAACCTCATGTATTCATCTTTAGGCTGAATTAAATGAATTGCGGAGTACCATAATAAATCTCTTGGATCCTCCTCCAGAAGTGTCGGCGTTGATCAATAAGTTGGATTTTGCCATGTCTACCTATCTCCTTTCTGTTTACCGCCTAGAGTATATGAGGTATATTTTTTTTCACTGATGAATTAAAAAAAAAATATTAAAAACTGTGTATGTTCAAGTCACACTTGCCAGACACTAGGATACATGAGAATTATTAGCTCTGTTGAAGATTCTGAGACTGGTAATTCATCTGTGCAAAATTACTCTAGAGTAGATAAAAAGGTGGAGGTCTAGCAATGAGGAAAGGAGGAAGAAAATTCTCCATCGTGTTCTTATTTTGACAATAACTGACAACAGGGGCAACCATTTCCAGAAGCATTGTGGCTGTATTTTAGAAACAATTTTTTAATAAGTGATATTTCCATCATATGCAAATTCAACAGATGCAAAGGCTATAGAAATTCCCAAGATTGTACCACATTTATATATTTGTGATGATTGTATAAGTGCATCATCGTCAGGTCTCCTACTCCTGAGGTGTGAAAGTTATTCTCTCAGTGACAAACCTGTGGTTTATGATCTGAGCCCTCTTAGTTCAATGTAGAAACAAATAGCAGTATCACCCTTACTAGAGACTTGAAATTAATCCTGAAATGAACAATGACCATATGCTGTGGTGTGTACTGTGGTGCTGAAGTACACAGATGTGTGTTGAAGATGTTTAAAAGGAAAAAAAAACAAAACAAACCCAAACCAAAACAACCCAACCCACAAAATTATTCTTTTCCTAGGGTGTTGCGTTCAACTGACCAAGATCGCTTCCAAGTTATGTTTTGCTATTTTGAGGATAAAGCAATTCAAAAAGACAAATCTGGTAAGATTTCCTGTCTAGGTTATCTTGCAACTTGAGAATATAGGAAGTTATCTCCAGGCATGCAAAACTAAAACAATTAAAATAACTATATAACAAAATTAATCACGTTCACTCAATTCTTGCTGAGAATGCTGGTTTTGTTTTGAAAAAGCTTGGTTTGGTGTTGGCTGAGTAAACATAAATATTTTTTACCTGTTAAACATGGTTTATAAAGCAAATGTAATTCTGATAGTCAAACCTGTCACTTTGCTCTCAATTCCTCAGGCATGATGCAGTGTGTGATAGCTGTTGCTGATAAGGTGTTTGAAGCTTTCCTGACAATGATGGCTGATAAAGTAGGTTACATGGAAACTAAAATTTTAAATTCCTATGAATGTTCTTGTTTCACTTTATGAAAGTGTGCTTGTTGTTTTCCTTACGAGCTTCGTGCTTTCCTTTGGCATGCTTTTTAGCCTAAAACTAAGGAGAATGAAGAAGAGCTGGAGAGACATGCTCAGTTCTTGCTGGTGAATTTTAACCACATTCACAAGAGGATCAGGAGAGTTGCAGACAAATACTTATCTGGTCTGGTAGACAAGTGAGTATAGATATCATTTTCCTATTCTCTTTTCACACTGACTGCTTAGTGATTACTTATGCAATTGATGACGATGGTCAAGTGGATTTCTTGGCTGGTATTTCTGATAAAACATCTTGAAAAATAACATTCAATAGTATTTTTAACCTGGGCTCTGAAACCCCTGCTTAAAATGTCTGTGTCTCCTTAGTATTCCCATGGATGGAGGAGGCCAGGTTGGACGGGGCTCTGAGCAACCTGATCTAGTTAAGGTGTCCCTGCTCACTGCGTGGAGGTTGGACTAGATGACCTCTAAAGGTCCCTTCCAACCCAAAGCATTCTATGATTCTAAGACAAAGTGCCCATGAAATAATTAGTGCACTCTCAACTCCCATGAAATAGCTCTGCTTAGCTTGCTCTTAGAGGGCTGTTGTGAGCCATGGCAAGCTTCATTGAGTATGAGCTTACCTAGTGATGTATACAGCTAGCTCTTTGAGCAGCTCCACTTCTTGATAAAATAATGTCCTTCCTCAGCTCTCCATGGTTATTATGTTTCTGAATCCTGTCTTGTTCCAGATTTCCTCACTTGCTGTGGAGTGGAACTGTGCTGAAGACTATGCTAGATATTCTGCAGACACTGTCACTGTCTCTTAGTGCAGTAAGTTCCGTTTTTAGTAGTGCTATTAGGGAAATAAAATGTATGTTTCCATTTTTTCTTTTGTAGAGCTGATTTTTTTCCTTTGCTTTGAATTCATTTGATACTTATTTGAGTTCTTAATTTGTTTTTGCTTTCATCACTAAGATTTCATAGGTAGTAAAACCAGTGCTAGAAGGTTGTTGTCAAATGTGGTTCAGAAAGTCAAATTTAGCACCAAGAATAAAACACTGGATTGCCAGTTCTGGGTTGTAACTGTTGAACTGTCTCATCTGAAATAAAACTTTGGTGGTCGTGTTTTAGCTTGTGGGTTTTTTATGAATTATGGTTGTCAGATTATATTTTTCCAGTCTGTGTGTGTGTATCCATATTCCTTGGATTTATTACATACTAGTATTTTTGAAGATGGAAATGCTTTATAGTGTTTTATTTTTGTGCTAAATGTTGAGGAGAAAGCATTGGATCTTTAAAATTATTTATACTGAGAACCAAACTGGAATACAGTTTCTTAGAGCTATTCAGATTGACTTAGAGAGCAAGTACTAGCAAAAAGGTTTGGTTTATCAGATTTCTTGTTTGGGGAAAGTGCTACCTGTAGTGTTCAAGTTAAGCGATGATGAATTTTTTCTTACTGAGAATTAATAATTGGTTTTGTTTAGGACATTCACAAGGACCAACCATATTATGACATTCCTGATGCTCCGTATAGAATAACTGTCCCTGACACACATGAAGCCAGAGAGGTAGGCTGTCCTCCTTGATTTATCAAACAACAAAATAATACCTGATTTTTTTATGGCTTATGGATAAATCAGTGAGCTACTCTGAAGGCTCCCTTTTTTAAAAAATACTTCCCTAAGTAAGATTTGTCAAATACAGTGTGACACTTGGTATTTATCTTTTTCTGAATCTTACTATTTTACTTGACTTGATGTGTGACAGTTCATTGCTTACCAAGGGTATGTTTAATTGTTAGAGAAAATTTTAAACTTACCATGTTGCTGCAACCTGTCTTACTCCCTATGTTATTACACTATTAAAACCAGTGCCTCTTGTTAAATGTTCTGTATTTTACTGATTGTATTGATGTTTCCTAATTCTAGAGTATAGTCAAGGATTTTGCTGCGCGTTGTGGGATGATTCTGCAAGAAGCAATGAAATGGGCTCCCTCAGTTACCAAATCTCATCTCCAGGTAATGAGCCTGCTTCTGTGAAAGAATTTGATCTTTACAGATCTTCAAAATGAGAATTAAATTATGTGATATTTTTGATTTTTCAGGCTGTCCAAGCATTTACATTTTTTCTGTTGCTCTAAGATTTCCTTTGTAGCAGTGGCAGAGAATAATCAGGATTTTTTGTTTGATGTGACTTTTGATGTAGTCCAAACCTGTGTGTCTTGAAAATAACAGGTTTGTAAATAGTTGTTCATCCTGGATTTACTCGAGAAATCAAAATTCGGTATAATAGAATGCTCTGCCTAGCAAAGTTTGTTCTAATGCTGGTGCATTAGCTGAAAATATCAGCTGAACTGAAACATATGATGAGGATGTAAAACTTGTTTCTGTCTCAGGAGGATGTTTTTTCTGTCTTTGTTGTTAATTTTTTTTTTTTAATATGGAGAAACTGCTAATACATGAGAGCACTGTAAACAACAGACTTTAATTTGAGCCTGGGTGTAGTAAATGCTCATATGTGGTAGAGCTCACAGCAGAAAGCTGTCACAGGACCACAAGCAAAGACTACAAAAGACTATTTATGATGTACTAATAAAGTAAATAAAATACCTTTTTATGTAAGCAAAAAGTCTCGCTATAGGAAAATGCAGGTCTCTGTTAATCCTTTGTTGAGGAGTTGAAAAATCTATGTAGTCCAGGTTAGAAAAGTATTCTGTCTAGAGGTCCCCAACCTAGTGCTGGTAACAGAATTTCTGGACATGCTTAAGATCTTGGACGCTGCAAATCTACCTGAAGTTTGTATTTCCTTCCGTAAAAAACCCTCAAGGGATAACTAATCAAATTCTTTCTTCTGTGGAGTCCAAGCATTTCCTTTTGTTTGTGATTCTTTGTAAAGAACCCTTCAAGTATCTGTCTAGATCACTTTATCCTTTTACAAAATGGAATGAGTCTTACTCTATGTATTTAGGGGGACATTCAGAGTTTCTTATTGCCAGGGGAGCAGTGCCTAAGAGGGATGAGCAGAGACAGCCTGTTTGTTGTCATGTATGTGTGTAATTAAGTTTTCTGGTAGTTTTCAATGAATGCAATGTTTGCTTATGAGCTGCCTTGTTTTGAAAAACACAGTAGTTCTCCAACAAACACTTTTTTTGTGGGTGTTGGTTTTTTTTCTTATTTTTGTCAGGAGTACCTAAACAAACATCAGAACTGGGTATCGGGTTTGTCCCAGCACACAGGACTGGCCATGGCTACAGAAAGTGTTTTGCACTTTGCAGGGTACAACAGACAGAACACTACTCTGGGCGTGAGTATTGGACAAAATCCTTCTTAGTTTGTGCAGCTGTATAGCTATCATGTTAGTTTTATAACATTCAGTATAGCCACGTAATACAGATTTTCTAAACTACCTTTGTCATCATATTTGACTATTACTCAGGAAGATAGCTTATATTTCTGCATCTCAAATCAAGGTATCTTCCAATCACATTGTTCTGTAAAATACTGAAAAGTAAGATGGTAACAAGCAAGAAAATAAAACTGTATCTAATGCGGTTTAAGAGTTTTCTGTAGATGATTTTTAATGATCTGAAAGTAGTATCTTTGTGTAAGGTTGAAATGAGCTGCTCTCTAGAATAGTAATGTAGGTGAGTGTCCGGTGACAACCATTTGGCTCTTGAGTTTTACATAGGTTCATTCAAAACATGCTTTTGCGTTGAACATGTCATGCAGTTATGTACAGTTTTTTACAGTTAATTTTTTCTCATTTTCTTAATATGTTAAAAGTATTTGTTTTGACTGGGGCCCTCCTGCATGTCGAGCAAGTGCCAAAAGTTCTTTCAGAAAGCTTTCAGATTGCTAGGGAAAGGGAGCAGCAGTCCCAGAGATTTTACCCTTTTTATGGTCCTTCCAAAAGTATATACAAGTACATACATATTTCAAACTGTATACATGGAATTAATGCACGTGTTCCTTATTTCATTTTTATTAGTCCAAGTACTGTTATACCTAATAGTTCTAATACTATGCCGTTTATTACAATAAAGAAAACTCAGCTTAAAACATATGTGAAGGCATCAATAGAAAAAAAGACGAGTGGTTGGATATGAACAGTATAAACACCCTTATGTGCTCTGGTCATAGGCAACCCAGCTAACTGAAAGACCAACGTGTGTGAAGAAGGACTACTCCAACTTCATGGCTTCACTTAACTTGCGCAACCGCTATGCAGGAGAAGTGAGTACAGGATTTCTCATGAGCGTGGGGTGTCCATGTAGTGGAGGCCTCATCCCTGGAAACATTCAAGACCAGGTTGGACGGGGCTCTGAGCAACCTGATCTAGTTAGCGGTGTCCCTGCTCGCTGCAGGGGGGCTGGACTAGATGACCTCTAGGGGTCCCTTCCAACCCAAAACATTCTATGATTCTATGAGCTCTGGCATGGCTTTTCAGCCATGGCTGAAAAGGTTTTTCCAAGCTAAACTAATGTATGGTTCTATGTTATTTTAAGCACGGTCTCTAAAGTGAAATTCCTTTAAGGTAAAGGGTGTAGTTTCCCTAGGTTATTTATCAGCTCATTTTACTGTTGGTCTTGCACAGAGTTCTTAAACTGCAGATAAAGCTAAAGATTTAGCAAAATAGTAAAAAAAGATGCCTCTCCGGAGTTCCTTAACCAGCACATGACCAATACTAAACTAGATTCCTAACAATACTGTTCTATGTTGAAAAAAACATTGTATTTTACAGGTTTCTGGAATGATTCAGTTCTCAAATGCTACAGGACGATCATCTGACCTGAATAAATTGATGGTCAAAGAGCTGAATGATGCTCTTGAATTGGGCCACACTGAATTCTACACCCAGGCCATGTTTAAGTTGACTGCACTGCTAATAAGCAGCAAAGGTAATGAAAACCAAATGGGAGTTCTGCTCTCTGGCTGTGAATGCCAAGAGTAATAAACTACAAAAACTATCTGTGTGCAAACCCAGTACGCATCAACTTGAAGCAGATCTGTGTTTTGCGTTTTTTCAATTAGGTTTATATTGGGGAAAAGCCTTCTTAAACTAGAAACTATTTATTAGGAATTGATTATTACATGCTTTGCACACCAATTTCATGCTGATGTGAAAGTCATTTATTTATTTTGTTGAATGTTTGTTTTCAGACTGTGATCCCCAGCTCCTTCATCATCTGTGTTGGGGACCCCTGCGAATGTTCAATGAACATGGCATGGAAACAGCAATTGCTTGCTGGGAGTGGCTGCTTGCTGCCAAGAATGGAATAGAAGTACCGGTAGGAAGCTATTTAACAACTCTTTTCTCTGCCTCTCCATTAATATTGCAGTGGATTTGAATTGTTGTATTAGATTCTTGTGTGCCCTATGGAGAAAGATTGTGCTTTCTGTATAAGAAGATACTATTGAAACAAGAAACACTGTTATTTTCCTTTTTGCAGTTCATGCGGGAAATGGCAGGAGCCTGGCAAATGACAGTGGAGCAGAAAGTTGGCCTGTTTTCTGCTGAGCAGAAAGAAGCAGATCCTTTAGCAGCCTCAGAAGAAAGCCAGCCAAGGCCTTGTCCGCCAGAGGTGACTCCACATTACATCTGGATAGAGGTCTGTATTTCTTCTGAACGTCCCATGTACAGCAGTGTTGCAGCAACGCTGCAAATAAGCTACTCTGATGATTCGGGGAGCGGAGTCATGATGGTAGTCCCTCTGCCTCAAAGCCAGGAGACACACTCTTTTCAGATGAGCATAATAATTGAGGGGTTGAAAGTTGTTTGAAACTCAAAAGACTGGGTTTTGGTGGTTTTTTGAGATTAAAAAAGGTCAAAGGAAGCACAGCATGTCTTCCTCTCTTTCTCAGTTTTTGGTGCAGAGATTTGAAATAGCCAAGTACTGCAGTTCTGACCAAATAGAGATCTTCTCCAGCCTGCTCCAGCGGTCTCTTTCATTGAACATTGGAGGGGCAAAAGGCAGTTTGAATAGACATGTGGCAGCAATTGGACCCCGATTTAAGTGAGTAGTTTTGGTTTTTTCCTTGGTGGAAGAAATAAGGTTATAGAGGGGTGGGAGGAAAAAACCTAAACACTAAATGTATAATTTGTCCTTGGCTTCAAGTGGTGAAAGTTCCTTTAAGAGCCTGGAATGATGTAGAATCTAAGCTCCATTTTCAAAGTAGAAGTAGCTAACTTTATCTTGAAAGGAATTTTTGGTGCTTCGGAAAACTTCATGGGAAAATTTCATATGGTGAATTGCCTGCATCATGGATCCAGTCAATGTATCGGTTGGGGATAATTTTGCTCCATCAGTTGTTTTCACTTTTTGTGACTTGAAGGCTTCACCTTTCTATGGTTCAGTAGTTACTGCTTTAGGAACAGACTGATGGTAATGAAAACAGTTTGCCCAGAGCTCTGAAACAGACACTTTACAATGAGTTGAATGGAGTTAGAGCTGTAGCTGTGGTTTGTACAGTGTTGCATTGGTCACCATTTTGGGAATGCCAAAATTTTCATTCTCTAACTATTTTGCTTGTTAGGTTACTGACTCTGGGGTTGTCTTTGCTGCATGCTGATGTGGTTCCAAATGCAACTGTTCGAAACGTTTTGAGAGAAAAGATTTATTCAACTGCCTTTGATTATTTCAGGTACTTTTTTACTTGCAACTGCTCACTGAAAGTGTGTGTGTGATTTCCTGAACCTTCCATGATTCTTCAAAGCAGCAACGGTCTTTCTCTTCTAGTGATTTAACTCTTCCTTTCCTTTTTTGCCCATTTTAATAGAAACTTTCCTTGTGCTTTTGTGTGGTTCATAAACCATCTCAAAGAGGCTTAGATGTAAGTTCCAGGTTTATGTGTGGTTTATGAAGTGGTACCTTCAGGAATGTTTCTGTTCTCTTCTTTCTTCCCTTGTTTTGGAGTTTATTTAATGCTCAAAACTGTGCCTAGATTTATAAGATTTAAAGAATTGCTGTTACAGAGTGTGTGGCTGAAATATAGTTTCACTGCTTTGAAAATACACCCACACGGTTCTCAGTGTTTCACATGGGCACAACAGAAAATAATATAATTGATAGGAATGTCTGAGTATGAGGAGGTCAGTCAGTCATAATATTAAATTTCAAAATAATCCAAGATGCTGACAGAGTGCTGCTTAATCTTCATTTGTAATGGAAAGTTTGTACTCTTCAGTTAGACAGAATAAAGCAATGGGGATAAAATGTGATGTGTAGTCTCATCCTTGTAGATTCTGGTCAGAGCAAGAAATATGACTTGGTTAGATTTGTGGGGGGTTTGTTTTTTTTTCTAATACATTCAACTTCACATTATTTGTGTGATTTCTTTAATTTTCCCCTCAAAGTTCACAAGTTTTGGACAGCGATGTTCTCAGACAAGAAGTATCTGACAGCCAGCCAACTCGTGCCGCCTGGTGAGTTCCTTTATGTGCCGTTTCAAAAGCTTCTTTCTTTGATTGGATTCTACACCAGATCTGTGCTCTGTTTTTAGATAATCAAGACACCCGGAGCAACCTGGATATCAACGTTGGATCTCGGCAACAGGCTACACAAGGGTGGATAAACACTTACCCTTTGTCCAGTGGCATGTCAACCATATCTAAAAAATCAGGTATCTTTGTGATTGAAACCAGCTCTTTGAAGCCAACTTTACAGCATTTTTTATATGCAGATGTTGCTTAAAGTCAATATTTAGCTTTAATATTGGGGTCTTGTTCTTCTGGCAGAGTATTTAATTACCAGTGCCAAACTCTGGAGAAGTCGCAGAAAAGGTCTCCCTGGTAGCAAGCAGCAAAGTTTTGAAATTACCTGTTTTGTTTGATAGAATGTTCAGTTCTGTAGAGCAGAAGAAATAAGACTGGAGGTCCAGATGTGTTGAAATCCTGTAAGGAAATTGTTTTGTTTGTGCAAACACACCCCTAGTGCTTTTTGTGGGCAGCAGAGTGACATTAGATTGTGGGCTGTGTTCTTGTTCAGTTGTAAACTGCATGTTATTTCTTGTTAGTAGACTGTCGTGTTTCTAAAGCGAATGCGATACTGGCTAAATTGCTGTCCCTGTAGCCTGTTGTACTCCACATATTCAGAGAAAAACTATACGAGGAGCAGCTGCAGTGCTGACTTTCTGAAGTCACTCTGATCTAAATTTACAAGTGCCCTATGGTTATTCGGTTCTTATGTGTTAGTGTTGCCTGGTGTGGACAGTTTGAAAGCAGCATTTAACATACGGAACAAAAGCCACTGAAAACTTTTTTATCCTTTTCTCAAGGAATGTCTAAGAAGACTAACAGAGGTACGCAGCTACACAAGTACTACATGAAGCGAAGAACATTACTGCTTTCGTTGCTGGTGGGTCATCAGAGGAATGGGGAAACTCCATGAATTTCTGAGACCTTGTTGTTGTTGCAGGATACATAAACTAAAGTATGAAATTGGGAACGGTTTTCTTCTTCCAGAAAACACTTTTTTTTTTCTGTTTCCCTCAGGCTACTGAGATTGAACGCTTAATCACATGGTACAATCCGCTGTCTTCCCCTGAGCTAGAGTTGGATCAAACTGGAGAGAGCAGTGTAGCAAACTGGAGGTCTAAGTATATCAGTCTTAGTGAGAAGCAATGGAAGGATAATGTAAATCTGGCTTGGAGCATTTCTCCTCATCTTGCTGTACAGCTGCCTACCAGGTGAGATATTTCAGAAGAAAGAACGGATCTAATTGCTGCTGCCTTAGCAGTTAAGTGCGTACTTACATTGTAAGTACCAATGGTACTTGCTCCTGTTTACAGCCCCCTCGCATACTTCCACAGCTGGTTGAGACCTTTCAAAAGAACTGAATTACTTGATATACTCACTTAGGTCAGGCTCCAGTGCAGTCCATCTTCCTTTCCTGCCATCCATTCTTCACTAACACTTAGACAGTGTTTTGTTCAGAAGAAATCATGTTTGGTTTTTAATAGCATTTAACCCATTAGCAGGCACAGCATTTAAATAGTGCTAAAAGTATCTTTGAATGAAGTGTCCTAGCTATATATTGGCTTGCACTTTAGTAAGTATTATAGGAGAATTAGCATAGTTGGCTCCGGAAAGGAAAGGAAATTCTTTCCCCCTTACAACAGTGATAGTTTTTGCCAAGTAGAGTTCTGCAGGCTGGTTTCTGTAGAATCCCAGACAGTCCATTTCAGCCAAGAATCCAATAGTGGGCTAACATACTAGTGGTTTATACAAAAGCCTTGGATGAGGACCAGTTGTTCCTGAATCCTCTTTTGACAGCATATTGGTCCCTCAGTGTGCATTATTTCATAGTTGGACTATTTGTTTATTAAGCATATACTTTTCTGCCTTTTGCTGTCCTTCACATAAATAGAAGAGGCTGTCAAAATTTTCTAATAATGTTATTGTATTCCTGGTTATACTTAGATTTAAGAACACTGAAGCTATTGGAACAGAAGTGACCCGTCTGGTCCGGTTGGACCCAGGAGCTGTTAGTGATGTTCCTGAAGCAATAAAGGTACTTGTGACTATTTATACTGTTACAGGGCCCCAGTATGCCAGTTTCATTTGGATAGATTGGAAAAGACAGTCTTCATTTAACACAGCGTACATTCTAGTGCTAACCATAGCTCTGCAGGGTAGGAGAGAACAGCTGTGGAAATAGGGTGCTGAGGCAAGAATCACAGTAATAAGAATAGGTGGCTAGTTAGCTAATGGTACATCTAGCTCCTGCATATATTCTCACCATGCACAGTGTCTCAAAACTCATTATTTGCAGTACAGCCACCATTTCAGACCACTGAACCGAGTCATGGTAAGTGCTGCTGCTGAAATTCTTTCAAGCTTAACCCGTTCTGTGTTTCAAGAATCCAAGCCTCTTGAAATGGAGGAGACTCATCGTGCTGATCTGCAGTGAAGCACTCTAGTCATGTGAGGGACAGTCTTGTCAGAGCTGCATTCTGTATGTCACCTGTAAAATAGGTGACAGGAAAACTGAACCTTCTTTGACTCTTATAAAAGGTTTCATCCTTTCTTCTTTTTCCTAGTGCTAGAACTCCTGTATTGTACTTTTAGTAACTTGACTTCACTAACTTCATCTGGTGATCTGGGAGGTGAGGAGATTCCGATAGTAAGGCTTCCATGGAAAAAAAATGCTTTAGATAAAATAGCTGTGTTTTTGTAAAATAGTATGTACCATGTTTCACTTCCCCTGCTACAGGAAGCTAGATGATAGCACTGCTGTCTGATGTGTATTACCCAGACATTATTGGGTGCTATAAACTCCTAACGCGTCTGACTTGCTTTTTCAGTACCTGGTTACCTGGCATACAATTGATGCTGATGCACCTGAGCTCAGCCACGTTCTGTGCTGGGCACCAACAGATCCACCAACTGGCCTCTCCTATTTTTCAAGCATGTATCCACCTCACCCTCTAACGGCTCAGTATGGGGTTAAAGTCCTGCGATCTTTTCCTCCGGTAAGATGAGTTCCAAGAGAACCTTAACACTCCAAGTAAAGCTACAGCTGTGGTCATTGAGGCCACAGGCTTCATTTTAATACCATGGAGAGATATGTATGCTAAAGGGGCACACCACATTGCAGAATGTGAATACATTGGGATGAAAAGTTAAAGTTGATTGTCCCACATAATACTGGCTCATGTACTTGCAACTTTTTTGCTGTAAATCACACCAGGCTGAATTCTTCAGACTGCTCTTCTCAAATTGTTCCTTCTGAATCTTCTGTCAGTGGAAAGGCGTTTCTTCTAAAGCAGCAGAAGGCTGGATTTTTAACACTTGTCAGATTTGTGTGAGGACTGTAAAATACATTGTTATTAATGATATTTTTGAAGGGAGTAACTGGACAGAAAATACTTTGATTTGAGGAGGTGGCATATCTCTAGTTTAAAATAAAGAGGCAGTGGTACTTTCTTCAACTACTAAACAATACCAACTACTAACACAATAACAATAAAAACCCTGCCATCTTTTCTCTTTCAGGATGCCATTTTATTCTACATTCCACAGATTGTGCAGGCACTTCGATATGACAAGGTGAGAATATGAAACAGCTGCATATGAACAAAACAGATTTTTAAAGCAGCTTTTAGACTTAAAACTGCAAATAAGACAAAATTTAAGCTTAAACTAATGCTGCTTATTATTGTCCTATATCTAATACATAGAAGAAAAATTATTGTCTCTAGAGGCTGGCTTGCTTTGGATACACCTTTTCATGAACAGGTAAACTTGAGAAACCAGAGGCTATGTAGCTCATCTGTCAGGAGAGAGATTTCGTTATGGGAAACCCCAGATGAGGACTCTGTCTCATTAAAGCTTTTGAAGGTCTGCACGAGACAAGCAGTAATGAAATTAAATCACTATCCTTAATCACTTTGCTGTGGAGTTAATCAGAGAAGACATGGGGGGGGGAGGGGGTGTTTGTGCTCCATTGTGTATATGAAATAGGATCTTAGCTTCATCTTACAGAAGCCAGAAGTAAAGCTTGACAACCAAGTTTAGAGTTCATTAATGTGAGATCATTGTTATCTGCCCACAACGTATGTGAACTCTGGTCGGTGCATTATTTTCAGGTGAAGACATCCCCAGCCAGTAGTGTAGGTGACTGTATATTGTTATTCCGTGAGAACTTTGCATAGATAAGTATCCTCTGCATGCAAAGCGTGTACATCAGACATCTTGTCTGTTAATATCCGTCAAGCATAGAAACATCTACAGACTACAGAAGTGGCTGCAAGTAAAGAGAATACAGCTTCTGGAATGAGTAGGATTCCCTTGTACACTTCAACTTCTTTTGTAAATTTGTTCTTGTTTTTCTGGAATTTCTGTAGAACTGTGCCAGCACGTGCAGTTCTTGCTACCAAAATGTGCAGTCCCTATGACACAGTCTAGATTTCTGGTATTACAGGAGCATTTAGTGATGCCAAGCAAGGCCAATATGTGTATTGCACTGTGCCTTGTACGCAGGAGATGCCCAAAGCTCAAAGAGATTTGAAATTCAAATAGAACAGATAGAAAATGGCACAGAGGTGGGGAGAAGGTTGGTTAGAATAACGACATAGGTCAGTGATAAAGCTGAAAACAGTTTAGGTCAGTTCACTACCTGTTAAAATACACTGTCATTCTTCAGAGGTCTTCTTGGGAATATGAATGAGAGTGTAGAGGTCTTCTTTCCATCCATTAATATTTTTGAGTTTGAAGAATAGCTGTTAGAAGCAGTAGTACCAAGTCTGCTGGAGTTGTAATGATCTTTGATCCTTACTGGACTGGGTATGGTTGCAGATGGGTTACGTTAGAGAATACATCCTGTGGGCAGCTGCCAAATCCCAGCTCTTGGCTCACCAATTCATCTGGAACATGAAAACTAATATCTACCTGGATGAAGAAGGACACCAAAAAGACCGTGAGTGCTTTAAAATATAATCTAGTTTGACTCCTTTCCTTGTCTCAGTTCAGACTAAATGTCCTTCCTGCTTCTCTCTTGGCAGGAGGAATGCTTTTAGCTAGGAACTTCTCTTTCGTTTGTAGAGGTAGGGCCCATTCTGTAGAAGTGTTCTACCTGACTGAATGCATCAAAACAGATGCAGCAATGTTTCCATCAGTACCTTTCTTTGAGTACTATCCAAAGGTGGCTATTTCCATCACCCATATCATTTAGCTTTCTGAAATAAGCTTCTGACACAAATGCTTCCCTTTTCGCATGCAGCTGACATTGGGGAGCTTCTGGAGCAGCTAGTAGAGGAGATAACTGGCTCGTTATCTGGCCCAGCCAAGGAGTTCTACCAACGGGAATTTGATTTCTTTAATAAAATCACCAATGTTTCAGCCATTATCAAGTAAGTATTGTGCTTCAGAAATTGCGCTCTGGGGCTCACTGTTCTGTTAATCACCAGCATCCTGATTAAGATGCTAAGTTGCTTTTAGGAGTATTGGGACAGTATTTTCAGGAAAAAAAGAGTTAATTACTTACAGGATAAGAAAAGGATTTTTTTTTTCCTGGAATGTAACTTCAGAGTTGTAGTAGGATGCAAAAGCTCATTTTAGTTTGACTTTTAGGGATAATTCATATCTGCCCTGATCTTAGGACTTGTGTTTTTGAGCTAGCAGTCTGTCTGATACAGCTATAACTTTTTCCTTTGGAAGTAGATGATTCTAAACTTAAGTTCAAGTTTTTAATCTGATTTTATCAAATACATTGTGGTCGGGTAATAGTGGAATGAGGTTCCATAGAACAGTGCATTGATACAGGAATGGAATTGGTAAAGAAATTGGTGCTCTTGTTCTAGTTGAAAACCCATCAGTCTAGTTGTCACCTGCATCATTAATTTGGCTTTTTGGATATGCTGCCAGTGTTCTGTGGAACAGTAAGCAGAGCTTGACTCATGCAGGAAAAACAGCACTTCTCTGTTCATGTCAGATTAACTGTCATTTTTTTTTCATATTATAACTTGTTATCAACATTTTATGTGGAGTTTAAAAACAAAACAAAAAAAACTTCACAAAGCCCAAACCCCTCAATCATAGGTGAATGGTTTTCCTTCTACTAAAATGCCATGAAATTGTTTTTTCCTCTTCTCAAAGCAATTTCATCGTGCAATGTAATACAAAGATGATTGTTCTTTATGCATATATGTCTTCTTCCTTCATTCCTAAATTGTGGTTATGGAGAAAAATTTGGTGTCATAAACATTGGATTATTGATCTCTTAAAACTGAAAGTCCTGCTCAGAGAGATTCTCACTGTTGACTCTAAGTGCGATAGGTGATTTAACTTCTATAAAGCTTGCCAGTGGATGGCAGCAGCTCAGCACACAAGCTCAAAGTCTGTAAGTGTGGTTTCACTGCATATTTTTAAAACATTCTCTGGTGTATGAAAGTATTTGAAAGTCATATAAAATGTATTTCCTGGAACATACCTCCTTTAAAATGAAGCTTTGCAAACCACCAGTATAAGGACATCCGGCTGAAGGACACTTACATCACAGAAACGATCAACTATTAGGTGCCTTCTGTGTGCATGTTGAGATGTTTTCACTCAGTAGGATGAGTTAAAAGCGGGGGTTAGGATCTGAAAATCTTGATATTTAGAATGAAATCAATCCACTCTTGGTGTGAAGTCATAATTAAGCAACTCATAATAATTGTGCTTTGCAAGCATTGCTTTTTGCACCCTAGCCTTAAAATGAATCTGTTCTTTGTGCATCTCCAGTGTAAAGACAGCATAGAGGAGATGCTGTTTGCTTTGTAGATGGCATAAATGAATAAATGCATAATCTGTGATGATTTCATTATCTTAAGTGTTACGTTGCTGCTTCAGTAATCTGGACTGCTTAAAACCGGAGCATACCTTTCGGTTGCATGCTGCTACTCCAGGTGAGCATGCAGTTGTGTGACTGACTTCAGTAGATGGTTAACACAAGTGCCTGTGCAAATTGGGTAATTGTACGTACTAATCGTTAACCGTGTTACCAATTATCCAGTTGACACCTGCAGTCGTGCTAAGTATGTGAACAAATTAGGCGTGTAATTGCATAGGCATTCTGCTGGCTTGTCCTTTTCCAGTTAGCAATGTTCCTATTCTAGAATAAGTTCCACAAGGAAAAATTATATTGCTATAACTATAGAGATGCTTACAAAGGTATAATTACACTCAAATTTCTATATAAGGAAGAGCCTTCATTTGTTTCATTCACATCTCTTATGCTGTTTGGGTTTGTCAACAACCTGTGTGTCAAATCGATGTTAAATCTACAAAGCAAAGACTATAACCTCCCTTAGGACAGAAAATGTTCTGGTTAGGTGTTGAGCCTGTAAGCTCTGTAGAAGTGGTGCAGTAAGAGATTTTTGTCGTTACAGGAAGAAACATTTTTTGTCAATTTTGTATAAATTTGAAACAAATTTGAGGCTAGTACGTAGAATAATATATAGCATGCAGATAAATAAAATACCGTTCATCATTCTAGGCCATTCCCTAAAGGAGATGAAAGAAAGAAAGCTTGTTTGAGTGCTCTATCTGAGGTGAAAGTGCAGCCTGGTAAGAACTGATTTAATCGTGTAATATAGCGGGCTTTGTGCATTCAGCATGAGAACTGTATTTGCTGCAAGCAGATCTTGAAATCTCTGCAAGTGGCAGCCCTCAGTTTTGGCGCTGGTGGCTGTTCTTCTGTTACAGTTAGGATTGTTTCTCTTGAAACAATTCAAATATTTTTACCGACCCGCTAATTTCTATACGGTGCATCAAAACTTGCCCAAGAGCAAGTTAGATAATGCACATCATGGATGAAAGTAGAAATATATGTCAGAAGAGGGAAGATAAAAAAGCACTTTTTCTTCGGACCACCTTCTTTTTTAAAAAGATGAGGCACTTTTGAGAAGTTCTGTTATTTTGAGAATGAAGCATGTCTGGTTCCTTTTATTCTCCTTTTTCTCCTATGAGGCGTTCCCTTGAAATACCATTGTCTGAAGGTCCTTACAAACCTTGAACATGTGATTTCCCAATCTGAATCTTCTCTTTAAAATGGAGTTTGATGAAAGCTTTTCCCAATCTCCAACAAGTCTCAATTCTCCTACCATGTGCTGGTTGCTAACGGCCCTTCCTAGTGCACTGGGGCATACTGCCACATCGTCCTAGGGACCATTGCAAGAGAAGTCCTCTCTGTACATTTCTGTGGTACAGATTCTGCACTATTAGTTCAAAACTGTATTTTATTCATTTCTGGCTATCACGCACTAATGCAAAGGATACGGCATCCTTCGTGGCTCACAGACAGTAGTCTCTTAACATTTTATTTAATTCAAAACCATGTACTGAAGTTACAGACACTATCATCAGTTACTCTCCAGCTTGCATTGTCATGCTGGTCGATGGATTTGTTCTCAGCTGTCTGCTCCATTTTGCAGGCTGTTACTTGCCCAGCAATCCTGAAGCTATTGTTCTGGACATTGATTACAAATCAGGAACTCCTATGCAGAGGTACCATGCTCTTGTTATGTTCTCCCATTAAGTTAATTCATGATATTTATGTATTCTTCTAGAAATTCTTGTTTGGTTGACTTGCACTCATCATAATTTTTATTTTTATTACAATTTAGTGCAGCAAAAGCGCCCTACCTGGCCAAATTTAAAGTGAAACGATGTGGAGTTAGTGAGCTTGAAAAAGAAGGTTAGTAACTGCATCTTAATCACTGGCACTGCTAATTGGGAGTCAGCAATTCCTTTAAAATCACCTGCTGTTAGTGACCTGTACTGCTGCGGTAAAATATTTCCATGCTGAACTTTATCTGCAATGTTTTGACTCAGAAATGAAACTGGATCAAAGGAAGAGAGAAGAAAATTCTTAAAACTTCAATCCATTTTTTGCCTTTTTGGGGTTTTTTTAAATCCCAGGAAGCAAGCCACATAGGTATCTTGAAGAAATGTGAACAGTTACTTTAGACTAACATATAAATTGATTGCCTTTCCCTGGTTTTAAGGCTGTAGCAGGCTCCAGGCTTTGGCAGTTTTTTCTCATAATAAATTTTGTGGGGTGCTCTAGCTGACTGGCTTAATGCAATTCAGGCATTTATCAGTTAAATCATGAACTCTATTTTGATATGTTCCAGTGGAAAAAGAGAACTATCTTATGGCATTCACCTTGCAAGGCAGAAATATCTCTAGGGCACCTGCACTGAAACGTTCTGTTTTTAAGTGCAGAGGTCTTGCCTTGATAGAAAGTTACTAATTAAAGCCTGTGTCTGGGTTTTGCTTTGTACTCTTCTTGCAGGTCTGCGTTGTCGTTCTGATTCCATAGATGAAAGTGCAGAAGAAGGGGTGGACAGTAAGAAAATCTGTTGGCAGGCAGCTATCTTTAAAGTGGGCGACGACTGCAGACAGGTACAAAGCCATCAGGCTTTGCAGTTATAGAAGACAGATTTGTAGGTGACAGTATGTAAGCAGAAAATAATTCTAGTAGAGAAATATTTTTCTTTGGAATTTTGAGAATCTCCACTAGTTATGGGCTGAGGGAGAGAACTGTGTTGTACCACTAGAGGAAATTCTGGTTTGGAAATAAAAGGCCATTCTGTCGAGACAGTTTACCGTGACTTAACATTATTTTTCAGAGTTTATGTTTCGATTGAGCTATTGGTAACATAGCAGTAGTTTACAAGGTGGTATCTTGTACATTGGAATTTGATTGGTTTTCATTAAGTGGGAATGCTAGCTATTATCCCTGGAGTTACTAGTTGCCCTCTTATCAAAGAGTGATGGAAAAGTTTGTTCTTCATAGGTCAGCAGTTAAATCTTCAGTGTTGCTTACTACCCAGTTAAATAGCATTTATATTTTCCCTTTTTGATTTCCCCCAGAGCCACAGTGCATGCACAAGCACACATCTGCAGACCTGCTGGGGTAGCTTAACATTCACTTCAGAGTTCTTCAGAGCATTTTTGTAATCTGACTTATGATCCATAACCCCTGTAATGCTTGTGCAATTTTTTTCTTGTATAACAGGACATGTTAGCTTTACAAATCATCGATCTCTTCAAGAACATATTTCAGCTGGTAGGCCTGGATCTCTTTGTGTTTCCATACAGAGTGGTGGCCACAGCTCCTGGGGTAAGTGGGCAATTAACTGTACTGCTGTAGAAAATAGTTCCTAATTAAAAAAGACTTTCTCTTCCAGCACATATAAAAATTTCATACTGCAAGGAAATACTGCCCACATCACTTACGCCAAATATTTGGAGTACTAGCAACAAAAAGAGTCTTTCCTCTCCTGCTTCCTGCTTTTCTAAAGTTTTGGCTCTGAAATTTTGCTGCCTGTGGTTATTCATGTTGTTTGATTTTTGGGACTGCATTGTGCAAATCAGTGGAAAGTCACAGAGCTTGTCTTATGTTGCATGGAAATCCTAAAAAAAATGGATCTACTTTTTTTAATGAATAAACTAGAAATTTTGTATTCAGTGATCTGTAGGCTTCCCCACATTTCCTAGGGGACCTGTATGACTGCCAAGAACCATGAACAAAATGTATGTTGGGAGTGTGCTTTACAGACCTGTTTCTCTTCTTCCCCTTCAGTGCGGTGTTATTGAATGCATTCCTGACTGCACATCCCGTGACCAGCTGGGCAGGCAGACAGACTTTGGGATGTATGATTACTTTACAAGGCAATATGGAGATGAGTCTACCCTTGCATTCCAGAAGGTAAAATATCAGCTGGCAAGCACAGCAAAATCTCAACTGAGAAACATTCTAGCTATAAGAAATAATGACAAATAATTGGATAATGACTACCATAATGCTGTATCTGGTTTCTGATGCTGATAATCCATTTGAGTTACCTAAAGAAGTTACTGCAGCTGTAGATGTATGGAGAATATCATTGAACATTGCTTCAAACTAATCATGAATGGAAAAAAAGAAAAAAAACTTTGTTCAGCTATATCTGCTCCTGGGATGGAGAGTTATTAAATTCTCTGTTCTTCTGATTTGTTTGAACTTCTTGTTTGTACAGGCTCGCTATAATTTCATCCGCAGTATGGCTGCGTATAGTCTTCTCCTGTTTCTGCTCCAGATTAAAGACAGACATAATGGCAACATCATGCTGGACAAAAAGGGACACATCATTCATATTGGTCAGTCATATCCACATTCGAATTTCAGTAGTTACCTTTTCCTTCTGCTGTAAAGTATTGCTCATAGAAGACAGTAAGCCATTTCCCACTTGAGATCGGTCTATGTCCTGATTTCACAGTTTGCAAATATGTGTGGGATTTTTCATGCCTGTTCAGCATTGTACGTATGCTTGTGGTGGCTGCTCCTGTGTAAATTTAGCTTTGCGAAGTTTTACCAGCTTCAGGAAAGTATATGCACATACACGTATGGATTATGCACGTTTACGTACTTACGCATTCATGCATACATATATATGTGTGCATATATATGTATAAATATATAAATGTATCTTTGGGTTCCTTTATCACTGTATAGGTATGAATTAAATTTGACAAGTACATTTATATAATTGGGTGAGGCTGTAACCTCTGCTTTAGCTTTGCTTTTCTGGAACCGCACAGGTGTTTCAACACAGAGTTTATTTGATGTCATCATTCTTGCGTCCAGTCTAATGTGATGGTGATGATTCTTTTCTTGGTGTTCTTACACTTCACCAAAGCTTTTTTCCAATTGGAGTCAAAATGTTGGTAGAAAAGTAGGTATTAATATGGGAAAGCCATCTCTCCTTTCTTCTGTCAGCTTTGACAGTGCACAATTAACCAACAAAGTTTATGAGGCAGCTTATCTTTTGTGCACAGATTTTGGATTCATGTTTGAAAGCTCACCTGGTGGAAATCTGGGCTGGGAGCCTGACATTAAGCTGACTGATGAGATGGTGATGATAATGGGAGGAAAAATGGAGGCAACTCCGTTCAAATGGTTCATGGAGATGTGTGTCAGAGGCTATCTGGCCGTCAGGTAAGGTGTTCTTAACTGCTCAGAACTGCTTGCATGCCTAAGACCAGGTGAGAAGATGAATAATAATAAACATTTCTCTGTAGGGGGTCTGAGCCTGTCAGACTGTCCTGGTACAACTTGCAAACTTCGAAAACAAGTTAATAATCCTGCACTTCTACAGCCTAACTTTGTGGGGTTTTTTTCTGTTCTTAAGTTATATTTGAAAATTGTATGTATTATATTCAATTTATAAATGCGATGTTACATGCATTCCCTCACACGATTTAGTAGGCTGTTAAAACTTCGCAGTAAGGAACTACAGAGAATCAAAATCTTTCTTGTTTTCCCAGATAGGACAATCATTGATCCCCATTTCAGTTAGAGTTAATTAGGCAGGAGATGTGAAAAAGTGCTACAATTTTCTGATGTAAAATATGCAGCGGTTTTGGTAGTTCAGCTCTGCAGCAGTGATTGGCAGCCAGTGACAGTAAAGACTTGCAACTTTACCTCGCTCCATACCAAGCAAACCGGCTTAGCTTTAACATGCAGGAGCACTAATAAATCTATCTGAAGAGGATGTTGCATGTGGGTAGGAGGACAGTACAGTAGAGTCCAGATAAAAGCTCATTCTGTCACGAGTATAAACTATTACTGATGTTACCTTACAGAACCAAAGTTTCCTCAGCTAGTAGCCCCTGAAGGGGCTGCTTGGAGTCAAGATCAAGTTGGTTTGTTGAAGAGGGAACAGTCTGGAGAAAATTCTGTGTCAAGGCAAAAATGTCACCCAAGTAGTAGAGTAATAGCTTGGTAGGTAATAAATTTTCTGAGTGGGAGAAGAGAAGCTGGGCTGATGTAGCAAAGAATTACACAGAGTAATTAGGAATTAGAAGATAAGCTCTTACTGTGGTATGGCTGGTTTCAGCCTTTTGTACTGTTTTGATGCACTGATTCACCTTTCTGATGCCAAAGAAATGTTGTTTACTGAAGCATTGCTTTGTATAATCCTCCTTGAGACTGTTCGTCTTGCAGCATTCTGAGTATCTGGTATTCAACATAAAGGAGTCAAATTTAATTAAAGTGACAGATTGCAAGCAATGGTGTAGCTCCACCAGCAAATATAAGAGGATTACATGTGTTGACTTAATTAAAGAAAAAGGTGTGATCCAGCTCGTTGAACTCCTCAGCTTGCCCGCTTTACCTACTAAGGCTGCAGAAATTTGAGTGCTGTAACCTTTTTGTCCTCTTTTTCTCTAGGCCCTATATGGATGCTGTCGTCTCTCTGGTTACACTGATGTTGGATACAGGGCTGCCCTGTTTCCGAGGGCAGACAATCAAGCTGTTGAAGTAAGTCAGCATATGTATGAACTGGAAAATGTTTGTATGTTCTTCACAGAATGCGTACTGTCACAACTTGTGCAGTGAGTAAAGTGTCATGCTACTCAAATATCTTAAATAGTAAAAATAGTAACTTTTGTTTATAGAATATCTCAGAAAGTAGGAATTCCAGAATTCTCATAGGATTAAGTTCAAGCTGCTCAGTGACTGCAAGTACGTGGATTATCTTCAAATTCGTAGGACTAGCTAAATAAGTCTGTTAAGGAAAGATCTGCTTTAATTGAGAGGTAATGTGTTACAGAGTCTGATGCCCTCTGAAATGCATCTTAAAATCTGTTCTACAGTGCTGAATGGGACTGTGTTGTAACATCCAACAGCTCAGGCAAATACAAATTCTAACGTGACACTTTAAACAGCCCTGCAGGTTTGTGCCTCCAGAGTTACCTCCAGACTGAGCAGAGTTAGCTCAGCATTTCCTGCGTGTAACTCCCTACAGTTTCCTAAAGATAAGTGCAGATTCATAAATTATGATGGGCTGGAGCTCAAGGTATTTTAAAGCAAGGTATTTTAAAAGCAGCAGCTGCCTAGGAGGAGGGATCTGTTGTTCCTAGACTAATACAAAGTTCACAGCCTCTGTCTCCACTATAAGACTAATGGCAAGTGCTTCTTAAAGCATTACATCGTTTGTACGAGGTAGTCTCACAAGAAATAGGTACTTGCAGCAAGTGACATCAGCACCTGGCTGAGCTTGTGCAAAGACACATTTCTGTCATGCTCAAAGGAAACCTCACTAATTTTGCTCTTGCTTTTTGTGGTTTTCTGCATATAGACACAGGTTCAGCCCCAACATGACTGAACGGGAGGCTGCAACTTTCATCATCAAGATCATCCAAAATTGTTTCCTCAGCAACAGGTTTGGCATCTATGCGTGTCTTCTCCCTATGGCTAAAGAACGGTCATCAAGCTTTGAGCAGAGCTAAAAAGCAGAGTTTTATCAGTCAGATACCAAACATTTTTGAGTTGTTGATACTTAGATAAGGCAGGATAGCAGCTTTGCTTCTGAACATGTTGCATCTCCTCCCTTTTACACTGGGAAGGAAGACTTAAGCCCAGGCTGGTGAAATAGCAAGGCTGGCTTGTCTAAAAAGTAGATTTTCTGTCAGAATGAATCTTTGGCCCAAAAGTTAAGCGTTTTGGCTCCTATGTTAGAGCATAGCCACACTGTGTACTATTAGGGTTATATGTCTAGTTGCGATATCCCCTTTATATAGGGTGAGGGTCACCTCTACGAATAAAGCAAAGAATGGTAT